TAATGCTAATTTAGTTTTTTTTATATAAAAGTGCTGCATTTTTTCAATTTAGAGAAATAACTATGTAACTGTTTAGAGACAACGTTCTTCAAGTTTTATTTATCACAAAGTTCATTACTTGTATACGAAAATTAATAAATTAATCAAATGTATTAAAAAAAGTTGATTTCCTTCTGGACAAAACAAGTGCAACTCCACAAAATGTTGACCAAGCTGTATTTCGCTATCAATATTTCGAGGCATAGATTCGAGGCATAGATTCGATCAGGTGATCGATGAAACTTTGTGGAATTGCTGCCCAGGCCTTTTGGATTTGTTCAAACAGTTTATGACGAATTATTACGAACCATCCATATTACGAACACCTTCACAATTAATTCTGCGGTTGACGATCTCCCACAGGTTCTCGATAGGGTTGAGATCCGGAGATTGAGGCGGCCAATCCATCACAGATAAGTGTCTTGAAACCACTGCTTGACTACTTTTGCAGTGTGTTTCGGATCGTTGACTTGCTGAAAAACCCATTTTATTGGCATATTCTATTCAGCATGAGGTAACATAACATCTTTAAGGATATTTTTAAACATGAAACGGTCCAATATTCCATCGATTCGATGTATTGGACCTAGACCGTTAGCAGAAAAAAACCCCAGACCAATACATTGCCTCCACCATGTCTCACGGTCTTATGGCAGTAACGTAAATCGAGGCGTTTTCCGGCCGGTCGACATACACGCAAACGCCATCGCTCCCAATGATGTTGAACTTCGATTCATCACTGAACAGGACAGTTTGCCATTTCTGCACATTCCAGTCAATATGAGATGTAGCAAACAGGAGTCTTTTCTTCTGGTTCTTTAGTGAAATCACCGGTTTTTTTGCAGAGCGTCGAGAAAACAATCCGGCTTCAACAGCACGTTGTCTGATTGTTCGGTCCGATATAGGCAGCTCTAATTGTTTTTGTATCTCGACTGATGATATCCAGTAATCCTTCTTGACGGATCTGACGATCATAGAATCCTCTCTAGAAGTGGTGGAACGCGGTCTTCCATTTTGCCAACTTCCCCGTAGAACGATATTTAGAACATATTCTTGATACGGTCCATTTTTTTCACGCGATATGTATCACAAATACTTTTTTGTAACATTCCACTTACGTAATTGCCAATAATTTTCATTCTTAGTTCCAATCCAAGACTGTCGGGAGTCATTTTTGTACTTGAAGTCATAAAAATAATAAAAATAAATAATCAAGCTTCTCAAGGCTTGCCGTGTTACATTTACCTTGTGATGATACAATAATGCTCTGCGGAACACAACGTCTTGGTTGGATGTGGACTGTATTGATGTAATGAAACACTTGTTGTATTTCACTTCTTGTATTGATGTTCTTCGATAAAACACTTTGATAAAACTCACTTCGATAAACTGTCTTGATAATACTGACTGATTGACTTCCATATACTGACTGAATTACATGTCGGTTTACATGTCTCTTATTTAGTAAAATGAACCTGTGTGAAGCTGTTCTGGAAGATTCTAGAGGCTTCTTTTCGATGCTTCTGAATGTTTCTGGATACTTCTGGATGCTTTCAGATACTTCATCTGGAAACTTCTGCATGCTTCTAGAAACTTCCTTTAATTATTAAAAAACTTCTGTGACGTTGACACGGACCAGACTTAAGAAAATGAAACAAACCAAAAAAGTTGCACTTGTTTTGTCCGCTACAAAATGGCACTTGTCAACAAAATTCTGCCTGTGTGCTGTCACCTGTCAGTTGATTGCTCATGTCATGGCATGCTATGACTCCAGACTCCTGAAATGTTTGCTGTGGTAGTATAGTTCGTTTCGTTTTTAAGACATGTAAAATTAGGAACACTTTTTAGCATTGTTCGATGTTGGTTGCAAGTGTTTTGTCCAATACTGTAGATGCTGTATCTGTTTTTCAATCCCGGGATTGATGTTTCTCAATCCCGGAATCCCGTGATTGAGAAAGACCTCCGGGATTGCAAAACCTAATTTTAACGCTATTAAAGAGTTAGTATTTTACGATTTTTATAAGCTATATAATGTAGGGTATAATATATTACGGGGCATGATATAAAAGTTTAATTTTTGTTCCTGTCACGTAAAATATTTAAGCTTTTTGTTATTGTACACACAGGTTGTTGTAAAAATATTAAATTTAATATTCCATTTTTTACCGATCAAATTACTTGATTTTAATTGGATTTTGAACAACTTTGGATTTCCCCTCCCTTGAATGTATAGGGCTCGCTTCCTAAGCAAGAGTTCAAGAAGCTAAGAGTTGAATCATAGGTTGAGTGAAGGATTGTTACAAAAAAACAGTTTCGCCTTGGAAGGTTAAAAGTAACAAGTAAATAGTAATTTACTTATTCTAATATGAACAAACTTAAAAAAGCTTAACCATTAAAATCATGGGTATTAACATATAACTCAATTTTTTTCATTGAACTCGTGAATATTTATAACAAAATGTAAAATATTTATAAATAAAAATTACAACAAATCAATAGATACATATTAGGCGGTAACAATCATTGCGTCATGCGATTTCTGGTGAAAAACAAAAGATATCCCAGAATTCCACGCACGTTTTAATATTATATCCGAAACGCCTTTCGTGCTCGCACTATGATTCCATAAAGTAAGATCATTCGTACAATCAGCTTGGTCCGGAGGAGCTTTAACTTGCACGTTATTGACGCACCGCCTGCATTTTAGTCTACAGAAATATATGTTTTAAAAAATCACATAGTTTAAACATCTAGTTAAAAACATGTGATTTTAACTAGATATACCACGTGGTTTTAACATCTAGTTAAAATCTTTGTTTTCCATTTTCCTAAATTTATATTTGCATAAAAAAACATCAATACCTTTCATGAGTATCACAAATTGTTTCAGAATCGTACTTGAAAAGTTCTTTTAGCTCGTTTAATGAAAAATGTCTTTCAACGTCAACCTCTTCGTCCACTACACAACTGCTCAGCGCTTTTTTGTGCGTCTGTCGCTGCAAGATTTTTTCTTCAATAGTTCCAGTCTAGTGAGAAAAAAAAAACACACTAAAAATTCAACTTTTTCCCTGCATTTAAGCATTTTTTATTTAAATTGGAAATTTACTAACACTTAATAACATAATAATCAAAATCATTTAATATAATAAAAATAAATACGGTTTGATTGAAAATAAAACAATAGATTTAACAATATAAAGATTCAATAAAAAAATAAAATCAAGTAAGATTGTTTTAAAATTTCAATTACGTACCGATAAAAGTCGATAAATAAACACCTAAAAAAAAAGAATATTTTTTATTATTTCTAAAAAAGTTTGCATAAAGAATAATACTTACCTATACGTCTATATATGAGATATAAATGTATTGATCACATAATAATATAAGAATGCTTGCAGCATCAAAAAAAAATGAAAGGAAGTAAAAAAATTGTCGGAATTTACGATATGTGTAAACACTTAAACCAGTGGGTTTTAGGTATTGAAACTAATTATGACAATAGAATAATTACAAAAAAATTTAGATAAATAATTATGAAAATGTAATTACAAATATAATAGTATGTATTTAACTTATTTTGTAATTTAATATAAATAAGTGTTGATACTTCTTTTTTCTGTCCGTCTCTCCATACTCTTGCCATGGCTTGATCATCATTGGCTGGATTCCAGTCGGGATCAAACATAACCAGTCTGTTAGCGCCTATTAAATTTAAACCACAACCTCCTGCTTTGCTACTCAACATAAACAAAAAGTCGTTGCTCTGAAAAAATTAAAAAGTAACATTTACACTCAAGTAAAAAATGCTAATATTGCATTTTAGAATAGTTGCCAGCCCGGCATAGCACTTACATTTGGATCATTAAATCTGTCAACAACTTTCATTCTTTTTTTGATTGACATTGAACCATCTAATCTAACATATTGGTAACCTCTTAATCGAGACAACTTTTCAAACAAATCTATCGTTTGTGTATAGTTAGAAACAAGGACAACCTTTCAGAAAAATACAAGGCAAATTTTTTTAATAACAAAAATAATTTTATTACCCCAATTTAAATTCATTTTAAATGCTAAGTATATCTTATGTACTAAGTAGACCTTATGTACAAAGTAAACCTTGCGCATTTATATAACGCAATAAATAGAAAAAATACAATAAGAATAGCTAATACAATTAAATCAATAAAAAAATTATTATGAAAGTTCCTTGATGTTTAAATATATCTGAAATGTAACCTATGTAAATAATTTTGATAAAAGTAACCTTAAAAAGTGTTGGTCTCTCACTCTATTATGCATCATAATGGTGTAAGAAGCTATAAGGAAAAAAACTAGAACGAGTGAAAATAAATTGCCGATTTTGCACGCTTCAGAAAATCAGATCTGAAATAAATAATCGGAAAATCTCATTTATAAAATTAAAGAGTTAAGTAGATAAAAATTAAAGAGTTAAGTAGATAAAAATTAAAGAGTTAAGTAGATAAAAATTAAAGAGTTAAGTAGATAAAAATTAAAGAGTTAAGTAGATAAAAATTAAAGAGTTAAGTAGATAAAAATTAAAGAGTTAAGTAGATAAAAATTAAAGAGTTAAGTAGATAAAAATTAAAGAGTTAAGTAGATAAAAATTAAAGAGTTAAGTAGATAAAAATTAAAGAGTTAAGTAGATAAAAAGATATTTTCAGAACAAAATAAAAGTAGTGAAAGTGTAATAAAAGTAATACTTCAGCTGCACACATGCAACAAAGTGGAATAAAAGTAATTCCTCAGTCAGCTGCACACATGTAATAAAAATAATAAAAAACTTATACTCCCTAGAGAAAACCATTACACATGTAATAAAAACAAATAAGCTTAACTCTAACTAAAAAAATACTTAAAAATATTCTGATACTTGTAAAGAACTGCATTAGAAAGATAAAACAGATGTTTTTAGATTGTTTTCTTCTAAACAATTTTTAAATTCAAGCTTTCTCTTTATTATTAGCAAAGTTTATCAATTTGCAATTTTTAGCAAATCTGGATATAACAGGTTATGCATAAGTCTTCGAACTTTTTTTATAGAGTCGTAAAAAAATATTGTTAGTTAGATAAAAAAAATGAAACTATATGGTAATAAAGAACATTCATTCTAGTATTTATTAATATATTTAACATATTGAATAGACGCCTCTATCAGCGATTTTTCTAAGTTTTGTTTTAACACTCATTAGTCTTTGTAATAGATCTGGATCATTTTCTTTTATTTCATTTAATTTGCTATTTATTCTTTGAACTAGTTGATATATGCTACGTGCTCTCCAACCATCACTGTATACCATCTGACTTAAAATAGCCCAAAATGTTTCAATTGGTCTAGCCTGTGGAACATTTGGTGGATTAGTGCATTTTTGTACAAATTCTATGGAATTATCAATAAACCAATTTTCTGTTTTATTAGCATAATGAGCAGTTGCAAGATCTGGCCAAAACACAAAATTATTATCTTTATGATGCTCTCTAACAAATGGTATAAGTCTTTTCTTTATACATTCTTTCACATATATATTGGATGTTATTGAATTCTTTGATCTATGTATATAAGGTTCACAAAATCCATTTGAAGAAATGCAAATCCAAACCAATACCTTTTCTTCAAATTTTTTTTTCAACTTATATTTTACATTATCAGGGGCTAGTAATTTTTTATTTGTATAATATATATCATTTCCAGGTATATTTGAGTTTGATAGGTTAAAATATTTTTTGTCATCCACGATTATATCTTTTTCATGGAATACTATATTAACTAATCTTCTCGATGATGTTACTGCTCTCTGTTGTTGATCTTTTTCATACAAAGGTGCTTTTTGTTTTTTGTAGCATTTAATATCTGTTTTGAAATTAATAGTTCTTAAAATTATGCTTTGGTTTACCTTAAAATATGAAGCTAAATACTTTTGACTAATACCAGTTGAATTATTTAGCATTTTAGTCAATCGTTTGACTTTTTCTTATCCATTTTTGGAGGACAACCTGATCTAACCAAATGATTATACACACCATACTTCTCATACCTAGCAAGAATACTAAATATAGTTGACTTTGGTATTCCTTCATTTTTAAAATGTTTATATGTCAATTTCTTTTTATCACTTGAACGATTTTCATAGAACGTTACAATTCGTTTTGCGAGGGCTTTTCTATCAAACCTTGTAATTTTTTTGGTATAGAAGTCTAGATAAAAATTAAAAGTGATTTAAATACATTAATGTTTGATCTTCAAAATAAACAATAAGTTGAAGGTTGAAAAATTACTCTCCTTATTTAAATCAGTTTTAAAAAAAGTTCGAAGACTTATGCAAAACCCGTTAGGCACCTGTCAAAGTCAATTTGAGTACACACTTAATCTAAGTCAATTTGAATAAATTCTTAGTCTAAGTCAATTTAGATTTTTAAGTAATTTAGGTGTTGATCAACATTTTAATAGATTTATTGTAATTCAAGGGATAAATGATTCATGACATTAACGTATATAGAAAACTATAAGTTATATAGTTAATAATACTTTTAAGTTAAAATAATAATAAGTTATAAATCAATAATAATTTTAAGCAAATAATTTAGAGTATGTATATTTCTTTATAAAGATACTTGAGGGATGTGTTCATAATATATTCTTTTTAAAAGACAGACACTGATCTATCTGATCAAGCTGTGATATATGTATATAAATATGACACTTGTATTACATAAAAAAAAACAAATACAATTGTTAATAAGAAGTCAAGCTAGTTTATAAATCCTCATAATCGAATTTTTACTCTTTATTTTTCGTCCACGACTTAATACTTGTATTATTTGTTTTTTGTTAATCTCCTCTAGGATTTTTTTGTTTCCACTATTATTCTTTTGTGCACCATCATTTCCGCATTGTGCACCATCATTTCCGCATCTCAAGCCCTGTGTGGAGCAAGTATAGTATGCAATCTTCTAAGATAAATTTGATTTTGACAGAGAACATGTCTGTTGTAATTTAACTTGACTTCATATGATCTAGGGGCTATACACTTTATTATTTTACCTCTAACACTTTGCGAGTTATTTTGTCTTATATTGCCTCATTTTGACCTTGCTTGAAAAAGTATGATGCTAAAGTGCCAATATTTTTATCATAGTAGTTTTTTGATTGAATTCTTTCTTTAACGATGTCTTTAGATCTTTTATATGGTTTCTTATTTTGATGTTGAAACCTAGGTAGAATATCTCTTAGTTGTCGTCCATGTAGTAGTTCTGCTGGAGATAATTCACATTTTATTGGAGTTTTGCGCAATATTAGAATACCTTTAAAAATTTCTTCCTTTGACATGTAGCACTTTTTTATAATAAGTTTAACTGATTTAACATTGGCTTTAGCTAAGCCATTTAATCTTGGGTAGTGCGGACTACTTGTTATGTACCTAAATTGCCACTTTTGAGAAAATTGATGAAACAATTTTGAAGTATATTGTGTACCATTATCTGAAATCAATTCCTCTGGGACACCATTTCAAGAAAATTATTTTTTGCATGCTAGTATTACATTTACCTAATTAGTATTTGAAAAGCAGAAAAACTTCCGGCCACAAGCTACAATAATCAACAATAATTAAGTAATTTTTATTAGCCCACTGAAATAAATTTGTTCCTACTTTTTGCCAGGATTGCATTGGAACATTATAAGTTAACAGGGGTTCTTTTGGTTTTGATGGAAGATACCTTATGCATGCTTCGCACTTTTTAACTGTTCAATTTGGTCGTTTAAATCTGGCCAGAAAACTGCCTGACGTGCACAACATTTGCACTTTTCCATTCTCAAGAGACCTTTATGCAATTTCAAAAGTATTTCTTTTCGCATACTTTCGAAAGTTTTTCTTTTTTCACATGATTCATAACGTTAAGTGATTCATAACGTTATGAATCATGTCTCTACACTTTTTACTCCATGCTGAACATGATTCTTGATTAAAAGGATTTTTTTTTAAACAGAATTTACACGACAATGAACTTAAACTAAAGTCTCCTTCATTGCCAGTGTTCTGTGTCTGTGAATTAAACTTTTTTCTGTTGTATAATTGATGTTCAATCTGGTCAACATTTTTAAATTTATTATTTTGTAATTCAGATATATCATCTTATGCTTTTTCAGAAGAACCACAAATTCTACTGCTTTATACTGCTTGTGTTAATGTCTTTTCAGAATGTTTTTTCTCATACTTTATCCCATTGTATCCCAGATACAAATTTATCACTAAATAAACTGTTAAGACAATCGGTTGTTTTGCAAAAATTGCAGTTTTAACCTAATAATTTTACTTCTGTCAAGAAGTCATCAAAACATTTACCGTTTTCTTGAAAATGTTTCAAATATTTGTCTTTCCAAAGTTTCATTAATAATACCCTTGGTAAAGACTTCCATTTTCTTAAATGTAACAGTAGGGCCTATTTTTCCATCTTAAAGTTAATGAATTTATAAATGTTTCGAGTTTCTAAAGAAAATGTATACCTTAACATAGCAGCTTGATATGCAAGTGGTTTTTTCTCTAAATTTGACAACAAAATATAACCATGCCATTTCTCAATCCAAGAGCAAAATGCAGCATATCTATCTACAACTAAATCTAACATTGGAGGAGAAACATCAACTTTATCACTTTCTGCATTTTTTATAAATAGAATCTCAAGATTAAACAAGATAATTGGTAAATACTATATTTGCATGTTTATTTACATAGTTGCAGTGCCATGTTGTGTTAATTTTTTTTTTTAAATGAGCGACACGGTTGTATCCAATCAAGCAGAGATACATGTATATAAATATGACACAAGGGAAATAAGGATTAATTCAATTTTTTAAGTCTTCAATTTTAAATTTCAGCTATGAAGAAGAATTGTGATATGCCAGCAAAAGTTTATGAAAATAGATTTCTTTTGCAGAAGGCATTGCTGACATCAACAAAAATTTACATAAGTGTAATTGTGACTTTTGACACAAGCTTTTTTTGGAAAGCACGCAAAAGACATTATTTTCATTTGTTGCATTTTAGTTTCAATTTTTTTTTTCTACAATATTTCTTTTTTTTGTTGAAATTCTTTCATTCTTCTGGCCTTCAACCTGTTTAGCATCTCAGGTAAATTAAGACATTCTTCTTCATGTCCGCTAAACTCTGGTGTATTTTTGCTTTGTAGTGTTGACATGATCAACTCGTAATTGCTCTTTTAATACACTTATTAGAGCAATTCTGTTTCCTAGAACATCAGTTTGAATTAGATCAAAATATGTTTTTGGATTTACCACATTTACTGAACAAGACTGATTGATTGATACTAATCTGTGTCATAGTGCTACAAGTATGTAAACAAACCTGCAAAAATTTTATAGTATTTACTAATTATCTTGTTTAATCTTGAGATTCTATTTATAAAATATCGCAGAAAGAAGTAAAGTTGGTGTTTCTCCTCTAATGTCAGATTTAGTTGTAGACAGATATGCTGCATTTTGTTCTTGGATTGAGAAATGGAATAATAAATTGCTATTACTGACAGATTGATATAGTTAAGTTAGAGAGCTAGTGAATGACAGTGTGAGCAACAGATTTTGATGGTTAAATCATTTCTGCAATTTGCAATTTAAGTTTATCAACTTTATTTATGTCTAACAAAAATAAGCCAGTGTTTTGAAACCTTACATTAATTTGACATATGAAACATTTACTGCAATTAAAGAGTTATTACTAAAGCTGAACAAAAACCATTTTAGATAAATTGCTGCATAGTGAGTTGATGTAATATTTTTCTAATACTTGGTGCCAAATCTTTTTAACATAGCAATATACGCCAATATCTAAAAGATGAAGAATGTGTAATTAATGAACTGGTAAGCATATGACGTTGAGCTTGACGTTGTTGTTAATACAAAGTAAGGCAACCTGGTATCTAATGCACATGACCATCAAGTACAAATACATAGGTACCAGGAATTGTTTTGAAAACTGAAATAAATATTTAAGTCAGCCATTAGATGAACTGTTTGTCTTCTATCCAACCTGACAGTGAAGTTGTATATTCTACATTTTTCAGGCCTTTTGTACACCAATTTACTTCAAGGTGTTTGGCTTTAAAAATTATAAATAGTTAATGTGCAACTCCAGCAGCATTTAAACAATTGAATGTATTGAAATATTTATTTATATTATATTCAGTGTAAGAAGCTGTTCAAGTGTTGCAATTTAACCTGCAATTCTCTCGCTTAGTTGATGTTTCCACCATTTGATGAATGCATAGTACCAAGCTTTGCCTGGTTTACCATTTGTAAATAAATTAGTTAGTTTTATACGTTGTAAATAACTAGCAACAAGATCAAGCACTTGTTTGCAGATTCTACTGAAACCCCAATTGACAGGTTTAGAAAGCATTTCAACTAATGTTAATATAGTAAAAGTATTTAAAATGGTAACGGTGCCAGTATCAATAGAGCATGCAGGATTCCTTTTCTTGAAGGGTTGCTTTTGGCCATAAATGATGTTTATGTAATAAGCTGCCAGAATTAATTTTTAAAATTGCAACTTATAAACAATTATTTAAACACCTCGTTGTATTCAAAATCACATTAAAAAAAAAAAAACTTTTAACAAAGCCAGTTCAGTTTCTGGAAAATCAGTTAAAATCTAAAAATTTGATGCAATTGTTAGTTATTAATAGAAAAATAAAAATCGTATTTTTTGATAGACAACTTGGTGTCTATTAGCAAAAACGATTATTAGGTAGTTTAACTATTTTATTAAAAATAATTATTAGGTAGGTTATTAAGTCATTGCTTCTAATCATTCACTAAAAGTTTAGAACTTTTGAAATAAACTTTTGCAAAAAATTCACTTTGTTTTTGTTTCTCCCTGATGCAGTGTTGTTCATTGAGGTTTGTGTTTTAAAGTTGAGAGAGGGTTGTAACTGTAATTAAAAAAAAATTAAAAAAAAAGCATCCTCAGCAGGGTTTCTGAAACAGAAAAACTGAATCTGAAAATCGGCGGTTTTTTTCTCATGTATTCTAATCTGATATCTATTAAATGTATCCATTAACTAATTTTTTAAAATTTAAAATTTCTTGAGCATTCAAAATTTAAAATTCTAATCCAATATTTGTAAAACATAAACAGTATCATAGTTTCACATTAAAAACAGTCTTTATTTATGTGTAAATGCTGATATCTTTTAGTGTATTTAAACATAATTTATGTACAAAATATACTCCATAGATATTTACACTTATGTATATTATATATATACAATTATTTACACACAATTATATTGTGACAATAATTGAACAGTGATTATAAGAATTTCATGTTTATAAGAATTTAGGTGTAAATGCTGATATCTAATAATTGAACATTGGTTATAAGATGTCATGAGTAACAAATTTTTACTACTTATAATCAGTGGCGAAGGAAAGTTTTTAATGTTTGAAATAACCAACTTATAAACAACAAGAATTTTCCAAATTTTTTAACATTAATATGTATGACAAAAAGATTCTTTAAAAAAAAATTACTATGATAGGAGAATGGGAACAAGTAACCTTAAAATCTTAGCCCCTCTGCCCCAATCGTGAGAGCAACAAGTTGATGAAATATTTTTTGTACTATTTTTAACTAGATTTTTATTCATCAAAAAATTTTAAATTTCATAGTAAAATATTTAAGTGTTCAAAAATTATGACCATATAAAGTTTGTAACCCCCTCAAATTGAAGAAGGCTTTAATTCTTGTTCTGCATCTGACTTGTTGATCTAGTTAAAACTCATTTAGAAAACATTTATTTTGAAAAAGATATTGTTGTGCCAACTTGTGAGGGTGCTCCTATGATTATTAAGTATGGTAGAGAGAACTCAGCAGTTTACCAGTTATGTTTCCACCTGGCATACATTTAGCAACACATTTAGTAACATTTAGCAATACATTTAGCAACACATACAGTTTGCAACACATAAAAAAAAAAAAAAAATTAAATTAGAACATATACAATATGACTTAAACAGTAATGATGCAATATTGAATGAAGATGATGTTGATAGTGATAAAGATTGTTTTGAAAATGAAAATTAAGCTAATGATGGTTCATCAAAAGTTGAATTTTGAAAAATATTAAACATTAATAAAAACATCATAAACATATGTAAAATTGTGTGTTTTTAAAAAAAATCAACAAGAAATCATATTTCGCAAGAAAAGCTCAAATGTGGACAACGAGAAAGACAAGGAGAAAGAACTTGTGGACAAGGAAGGATGTGGACAAGGAAGGATGTGGTTGAAGACATTCTTTAGAGCTCAAACTAGACCTGAAAACTAGATGGAGCTTATTAATTGAAATGGTTGAGGATTTTATAAATGTTCAAGAATATTTTACTGAATCTCTTCTTGAGATTAAAATGGATATGCTGGCAGAAGTAAATGTATATCTTTTATATGATTTGGGTAACGCTTTTAAACCAATAAAATTAATGTACCACTTGGTAGATCTACCATTTTATTGTCTATAGACAAAATGCTTCTTTTCATTAAAATCAATCAAAATATGAATTAAATTCAGCAAATGAAATAATGCAAAGGATTTTTTCCAATAATTTTTATAAAACAGAAAATAACAGTGAAATTATTTCTGTTGAAGAAAAAATAAGTATGGAAAAAGAACTGAGAAATGTTATATAAAACTCAGTAACAAGAGAATCATAAATCAGGAATAACCAATTCCATATTAAGAATATAAAACAAGAATTTAAACTATTTTGCAAAACTGGAAAACAAATTGAAAATTTATTGGAAAAAACAAATTGATGTTATTTGTTTAATCAAGCCAACAGTATTTTTAATATCAGCTAATTCCTGCACCAAAACCAAATCATGGTTATATGATAAAGTTCATGGTTACCACCAAAACCAAATCATATAATAAATCGTTGAATGTGGTTGTATTTCAAGAATAGTTTTATTTAAAATTGAAAAAGATTTATAAAAATTAAAATAAAACATTATTTGCTGTTTTTATCAAACTAATAATTTTTCAGAAACTCTACTCCTCAACCTCGGGAGGTGAATAACATTAAAAAAAAAAAATGGTTGAGTAAAAAATATTAACCTACTATAACCAATAATGCACAGGTAATATTGGTTCCTAATAAATAGTATACAAATAGTACTAGCAATAATAATTGAAACATAGTTGAAATTTACAAAAATAAAAAAAAGTTTACCTTGTCATTTGAAGTTGATTTAACTAATGCCAATATAAAATCCAAAACCTGCATCTTACCTAATACAAAATAGTTCCATTTCAACAAAAGAAATAAAAAAAATAATAATAAAATAATAAAGTGAGCAGTGAAATTATTAAGTCCTATTTCTTAGAGTAAAGAAGAAGTCTAAAGTTTGATTACTTCAAAAAACATGCAAAATGGATGTTTCCACAAGAAAGTTTGAATACATGGCAGACCAAATCCACAAGTAACTTAAGCCTGTTGTAATTTCATCAAAAATTACTGAAGAATGTTTCTTATTGGTGAATTCTAAAATAGCTTGTATTAATATACTACTATATATTAATAGAGTTAATTTTTTAAGAGTATATAGTGTATTATGAAAGAAACAAAAATGTGAGGAAAGGTTCTTGATTAATAGATCTGTTTACACTGCAAATCCAAAAGGCTCTTCGCGGTTCTTTGCTGGTTCTTTGAAGAACCTAAAGGTTCTTAAAGAAAATTTTAGGTTCTTTAAAGAACCTACAGGTTCTTATTATTCTCTAATGGTTTTCTGAAGAACTGGCGGCTTATTTACAAAGCAATACAAAGAACTCACAAGATTCTTCAAATCTTTTTACGGAAAACTTCAAAGAACATTAATTTAGGGTTCTTCAAATCTTTTGTAAATGCCATTTTATTTTTCTATTCGGTCGTTATATATGTAGACTAGTATGAATTTATAAAGAATAGTATAATAACAATAACAAATGATTACCATGACAGTATTTAATTTGTGCCTTAATCATTTGAGTTATTTTTATTGCTGTTGTTAACATCAACAGCGATTATAAAAGCAACATGTTTTTATTTTTTTAATTTCGAGCAACTTTCTTATTCCTATATGCTTTTATGATAAAAGCATATAGGATTAAGAAAATTGCTGAATAAAATATGCATGATAAAATATGCATGATAAAATATGCACGATAAAATATGCATGATAAAATATGCATGATAAAATATGCATGATAAAATATGCATGATAAAAGTTTTATCATACATATTATAAATAAATATATAATTGTATATTTAAAAAATGGCAGACTCTAAAAACTTGTGTTTTAAACAACTTTTTCTTGCATATTATGTTTTTTATGTAAATATTTTGTTATTTAATAAAAGCACAGTAAAAGGGAAACTGGAATAATAATCTTAAGAGAGTTCCAATTAATATTGTTTTAATGATTATTATTATTTGTTTAATAAAACAATTATTTACAATAGTATAAATAGCAAATAAATTTTTTTTTTGTAAATAGTAAGTAATATATAAACAATTATTGAAGGAATGCATTTAAATTTAAATTTGCTGCATTACCTTGCTATGTAGCTATGCTTGTGAGTTTCTAATTAATATTTCCAAATAATTTGTATTCTTTTAAATATATATACTTCATATATGAAGTCTACAAGTCTACAAAAATTTAAACACTAATTATATTCTTTATTATATTATTGTACATATTTAAATATTAAAGAAATGAGATGACACTAAGATTTAATAAATTTCTTGATAAAGAACTGCATCAAACAAAAAGCTTTATATGCAAATAGATGCAATCGAATGTATGCGGCAAAGTCGAAATTTATAGAATATTAACAAAATTGTTTGATATTAAACGTTATTGCTTCATTCATAACTTAATTATTGCTTTAATCTTAACAAAAACAGGGAAAATAGTATATTATTTAAAATAGTGAAATAGTTTATTATTTATATAAATAATATGGAGATTTGAAACAACATGAACATGTGACCATACATATATTATACAAGATGGCTGCACCTATATTACTCTTAGAAACTTGTGTTTTAAACAACTTTTTCTATGTGAATATTTTGTTATTTAACATAAGCACAGTAAAAGGGAAACTGTAATAATAATTTTAAGAGAATCAATTCCAAATAAAATTTTTTAAATGTTTATTATTATTTGCTTAATAAAACAATTATTTAAAATAGTATAAATAGCAAATTAAAAAGTTTTAATCAACAGGATTGTTTGGCTGATTGATTTGGTTGGTTGATTGGTATTAAATCATTTGACTTAAATTGATTTAAATAAAAATAAAAAATCATTATTTAAATTGACTCTTTTGATTTTAATTATTTTTAATGATTATTTATTGAATAATCAACTTTAAGTAAATTACACTAGCTAAATATAACTACTGAATAAATTAGTATTAGTTACAATAGTCAGATAATGCATTATAAAATATATACAATAGTCATATAAATCATTTAGTTTTTTAGTTTATTGTAAGATTTTTATCTATATAAGTAAATTTTTTCTTTTTCATGTTTTAACTTATCGACTAATTACATTAGTTTCTGCTTTTGTTACTATTTATATAATAAATATAAATATATTCCTTTTATATAAGAGTATTTTTAAATTTTTTTAAACTACAGTATTCATTTGTTGTTATTTTTTAGTTATAAATAAAAATAATACAACTAGAAATAAAAATGTCTGGTGCTGGTAGAAAAATAGATGCAGTTTTGAAAACAGTTTGAAGAAATACCTGCAAAGTTTGGTAAAAAGGGTAAAAAAGCTAAATGTAAAAGCTGTGGTGTACAAACGCAAGGTTTTGCTGCTCGAATGAGAAACCACAAAATGTAATTTTGGTAAATGTAATTTTCTGAAAGATGTTTAAGATGATGAAAACATTATTATTTGTCAAGACAAATATCAACAACAACAACAACAACAACAACAAGCTATTTATTTTCCGTAAATCATTTTACAATAGCTTTGATAATAATGATAATAATAATAATAGTAATAATAGCAAAAATATATAATAATAACATAAGATAAAACCAGGTAACTGAAGAACCACAAGCTAGTCAATGTTCTGTTAAGAAAACTGAATCTAGTTTTATAATTGATGACATATTTTTATAAACATAGACATATGGGATTGTAAAAATTTTTGTTAATTGTTTGAAAATATTATATTTATATTAATTGTTTAAAAATAGTTTTTCTTTTCTTTATTGCCATATATTGCAATATAAATTGAATTTTTAGGAAATTTGTTGTTTACATTTTAATTTTGGCGTAAAGCAACTTGCATAAATATCTTAAATAAGAATAATTAAATATTAAAAATCTATTACATAATTATATATTATTTAAATACTTGATAATAGAAAATATTCAAGAATTCAAAAGGGTTCTTGAAAGTACCATATTTAAAGGTTCTTCTAAAGAACCCTTTCAAATGGTTCTTTGAAGAAACTCTACGAATACTCCACCAGCGCCAATGCAAAGAACCTTTAAAGTTTTTTAAAGAACCTTAATTTAAGGTTTTTCCAAAGAACCCTCTTAAAGGGTTCTTTGAAGAACCTCTACGGGTGCTCCACCAGTGTCAACGCGAAGAACCCTTAAAAGTTCTTTGAAGAACCATTCGGCTTACGAGTGTAAGGTAGTGTTATAAGATAAATCCAAAGGCTATATCAATTGCAATATCATTGCAAGTTTTATAGCAAGAATTAATAACTAGTAACAATCAAGTAATTAATAAATAATAATAGTTCAAAATAGCATGTATATTTCTAATTTAAAAAAATTAATTAATTAATAAATACTAATTAGTAACTAGTTACAAATAATATGTTGGATTTACCATGGTTTCAATAAAAATGCAAAGACTATGGTTTTGATAAAAATGAACCAAGATCAATGCTCTTATCATAAGTAAGACTTTTGCAAAGTTTGACATGATGGTCAATGTTCGACATGATGGCTATGTTTGACATGATGACATTGTTTGACATGATGGTCTTCTCAATAGAGACTCTTTACATGGTAAATCAAAAAAAAAAGAATCTTTTATAACTAAAAAAGTTATTAAAATAATCTATCCTTTTCATTAAAGCATTAAAGTTATTCTTGATGAACTACATTCTTTTTTATTTCTCATAACTTCAGGGGTACAACATGGTTCCATCCTAGATCTCATACTGTTGTTGAATTCAATCTAGATAAAAACTCACTGCTCTTTGATCAATTCTATTCTATGAATAAAAATGATCAAAGAATTTTATGAATTTTATTTCTATAACCATTAGTCTTGAATAATTTTTTTTTTGATTTCAAATTATATAAATATAATTTATGTATAATAAATTATAATAAATTATGTATATATTTTGATTTCAAATTCAAGTATATTCCAGTAATATGATATTTAAAACTTTAATTATACTAGGAAAAAATGGTATTAACACTCAAGTGTTTGAGTGTTGACTTAAAGTGTGGCTTGAACAGCAAACTCAAGGTGCCATACCTAAAAAGTGCAGTCATCAACTTTAGCCATTGAGTATTCATGCATTGACTTGTCATGTACAGCCAACATGCATTACTTTGCATTTCTTAATACTGAAATGCATGTGTTAAATATGTGACCATTCGTCTGCTTTGTTGATGCCAGTTTGGATGATGTCTGACTAATTCTTGACTATGCCTATAATTTTAATTTCATTGGCATACAGTTTCATATGATGAGTGATGTTGTATGGAAGTATGATGTATGTATGTCATATGATGAGTGATGTTGTATGAGTGATGTTGTATGGAAGTTTATTTATAAAGATCCCAAAAAGAAATAAGCCAATTCAGATGTAATGCCAATGATGATCACTTAATGAGATCCAGTCAAGAGCATGCCTTGAATACCATTATGAATATGTTTAGAAATAGAAAACAAACAAAAAAAAAGTATTTATTATTTAATAGAGGTATTTAGGTATTTTTAGGTATTTACAATGATCAAAATTTTGTTATATAGAAAAGTAAGAAAGCATGTTTTTTAAAATTGTTCATTTTCTAAAAAACTTGCTATGATATGCTTAAGTGCAATACTCTTATGATAAAATCATCACTAAAACTAAAAGGTATTTGCATGTTTTTATGTGTTTGAAATAAAAATATAAAGTATCTACATGTGTCATATATTTCATGTATTAGAAACCAAAACAAAAAATCTACAAATTTTCATGTAT